CCCAAACCCCACCTGCTAGCATCACACACCTCAACACGGGATACCCCGGCCGACCTCTCTTTACTCGTATTATATTTTGGACCCCAATATATTTGACAGTTATTGATTGGAGTAATTGATCTTTTTTTTATGATATTCAAAATCCACGCTTAATTTCATAAAAGAAGTGTCACGTCGCTCGCTAGTGATTAATGAAATTCATAATATAGTTGTACGTGTTCCTGTTGGAACAAGAAACATCAGAAGTCAATAGCATAAACACAATTTTAATATATATTCCTAATTTTTCTATATTATTTAAAATCTACACATAATATGTGAGATACTTCCACATCACTAAATTACAATTTGTTAAATAAAATGACAAAAAAAAAAAGGAAAGCTCGTTTGAAGAATTTGTTAGAGAAAACTAGTTACTATTTCAACAAACTACCTGAAATAAATTTGTAACTTTTAAAAAAAAATATCTTACAGATCATCATATGATTATCAATTGTGAGAATAATAAAACAGAAATTTAAATTATACGGGATATCAATATTTCCTTGTTTTTGTGTGGGGTGAGGTGGGGGCCTTAGACATGCAAATACAGAATAGAGTAGTTCATTCAGTTCCTGTCGTCTTCTTATTCTACAAATTTATCTTCCTTTAATATTTTCTCGTTTTTTTCTTCCTTTTCGCCGGGATGATTTTATTTTCTCATTTATATTTTTGGGTTACTCAAATAGCAAAGGGATAAATGCAGCGGGAATAATTGGTAGAGCCTCGTGGGGCCGTGGGGCCTAAGTACTTTTCCCCTTCAATGACACGTATCAACGCTGGCCTTGTGGGTCCCAAAGGGAAAGCCTCTACCACTTTGCGTTTTGCTTTAAGCATTCTGTTCAAGATTTTTTTTTTTCACTTATTAGAAAACTTTTTTTTGTGTGTGTAAGTATTAGGGAAAACTATCTACAATAATTGATAATATATATATATATATATATATATATATATATATATATATATGTTATAGTATAATTTCATGAGTCGTTTAATTGATATAGCTAGGAGGTTTAATTTTCATGTAAACTCAGTATTATTAATATTTTGTGTCTGATTGCTTATTTTTCTTTCCCTCATAAATAATGTGGGAATAAATTATGAGAATTTAAGTATTATGTATCTTTTTGTTTCAAATTAATATATATTTTTTGTTAGTTTTTAAATAGTGTCGACCTATTGTTTAGTGTACAACATATATTATTTAAAATATTATTATTTACACGCACACATAAGAAAAAATTAAAACTATGTCATATGACACTCTTTAATAAGAAATGTCTCTCTCGGCGCTCAACTGTCCCAAATTATCTCCTAAAGTCACTTTTCTTTCTTTTGCAACAAAAAAGTCACTAAACTATGGTTATTGTACTCAGAAGGTCACTCAACTAGATTTCAAATTTTGGAGTGCCAAATACCTATTTTACCCTCTAAATTATAAACATTTATCTTCTTTTTGTTTTTTAAACTTTTTAGTATTAACAACAAAAATTCAAAAATTTATTTACACAATTCAGAATGAAAGAAAATAAAGGTTGTAAAATATATATTCCATGCACGTAATATAAAAATAAAGGAATCTATATAATATACATTATATATTCTTGAAAATTATGCTCAATTATATTATTATGTTTCTACCGGCTTTCTGACGACACAAAGTTATGTCACCGGAAAGCAGGGGGACTATCTGTATATGGTAAAATATGCTATGTTAAGTCGTGCATAGAATATATATAATATAATTGAGCATAATTTTCAAGAATATATAATGTATATTATAAAAAAAATACCTTTATTTAAATAGTTATTTTTATATTACGTGTATGGAATATATATTTTACAACCTTTATTTTCATTCTGAATTGTGTAAATAAATTTTTGAATTTTTTGTTGTTAATACTAAAATTGTTATTACTAACAAATTATTCTAATTAATTTTTTTACTATTCTCATTATTTTGTTATTCCAACACTATATATGCTTAAATACTTTTTATTCTCATTGTGATTTTTGCCCCATATGAGTTACTCCTACAGAATCCCAAAGAATTAGATTTTCCTTTTATTTGTTTGCCATTATAGGATTATTGTAGAATTTTCTTAATTATTTGCATTTCTGTGTGCATGTTTAATTTTATTTAATTCATGAAAATACAAAAATACATTGCATTTGCATTTAGGATTTATTTTTACATTTTTAGGTTAATTAGCAAATTAGTTGTTTTATAAAAATGAAAAAATCACAAAAAAAATAACTCACTTTGCATTTTTAACTTTTTAATCTTGAATTTTATAGTTTTTCTTTTAATTTAGGAGTTAATTAATTGTTGTAAATACTATGATGAATAATTAGTTTAATTTGGTAAGTTAATTTAGTTTAAGAATTAATTTTGAAAAGAAAAAAAAAGAAAACTTGAAATTGAAATTGAAAGGAAAAGAAATAAGAAGGTTGCTTTGAGCCAAATTCGTAGCAGCCCAAATGAATTTCCCCCTGAAACTCGTTCAAAATCTGGCCCAACTCCACCCCATACCCGGTCCGTCCCATTTAATTAGCCAAACGACGCCGTGTTGAGGTCTTTGATCCCAGGCGTTGATCTTCACTCATCGAACGGCTGGGAACTGGTTTACCTAAATATATTTAACTGTCCGAATGTCCTACCCCCCCCCCCCCCCGTTCCATCTCTCTCATTCATCTCCACCTTCAGAGACAAATGAAGAACCCTAGAACGCCGCCCTAAAATCCTCACTCCCTCCGGTGGCGACGCCACCTCTAATCCGCCTCAAAACTACACCATATAACCCCCAACCCCTCCTCTTCCTAAATCCTGAAGCAACTTCCCTCAAATCCCTCTCCACCGTTTCGATAGATCTAAGGTCAAGACCCCAAACCCTAAAATCCCAAATCTCCCAAATCGTCAAGTTTCAATGAAGGATTAGGGTCGAAATTGATTTTATTTGTGTATTCGCAACGAGAACACACGCTTAATGTCAATCTCGGTTAAAAATCGAAAGTTCTTGAAGACAGTTCAAGCCTGCTGTACATCCGCCTAGTCTAGGTATTTTTTCCGGCTATTATCCTTTCCTTCATCTCTCATTTGTTCTCGTCAACTTCTTCTGTTTCTTCCTTTTCTTTCTTGTTTTCTTTCATGTTCCTCGAACAATTCTGTATGCATGATAATTTTAAGTTTGTTTTAGTCACATATTTATGTTTCCTCTTATGTCTTTCTCCTTCTTTTGTTAGTTCAAGTTGATCCTTGGTTTGCATGATTAGAATTAAGTAATATTAATTTATGGTTGTTGGCATAGTAGTGTAATTCACAACCCCTTTAATGCTTTTAGCCTCATGTTCTGCTTTTGCTTTGTTCTCATTCTTTCTTTTTTATTTTACTTTTTAGAATTTTGATGCCTTGAGTCCCCTGAATTCTTTTGGTTTAATTATTTTTGGTCTGTGGACCATAATTTGGGCTTCATAATTCAGAAGCCCAAAGGAAAAGGGGAGAGGTTCAGATGTGTTAGGGCCCAGCCGAGTTAATGGCATTTTCGGAAGGTAATTAATAGGAATTCAAAGGGTAATGTGGGGAGTTTGGACAAAAGAATCTCTTGTAACTGAATAGGAAGCTGCTAGGAAGGTGGGGTTTGGGTGTAGTTCAACAAGCTGGTTAGGAATTCTGGATAAAAATGAACAAATTGCAAATTGGAGAAGGGGCAATGGCTAAAAATTGAAAACATTTCTGCTGCCCTAGTTGCTCTCTATAAAGGGCATTGTTTCCTTCATAGCCTGGACAGAATTCAGAGAATACCACACTGAAAACTGAAAAACGGCTGAGTTTTAAAACCTTGAAAGAACACTGATATTCCGTGACTTCTTTGGTTGAAACGTGCTTTTGATTCTGCCCTAAAACCTCATAGTTAGTTAGAATTTCTGAAAAACTCCAAAGATTGGTGCTCATCTGAGTTCTATATTGGTTTAAAAGAAGCTGATTTGTTTGGGTTGCTGAGTTGATCTGCTGCTGCTGCTAATTCTTCATTCTTTTTGGCTTTTTCTTTTGAATTCCAAGTATTCTTCAAACCATGGACAAATACGTGAAGTGTAATTTGCAATTTCGAATGAGGATACATGATGGATATCATTCATTTTAGCTGAACATTGTTTCCCTGCTTCTTCTAGTTCTTTCATGTTTTGTAATAATCTAATCTTATGCATGTTATTCTAGCTTTCTCAGGTTATTGATACGGTGTAAAATGAATCAATGCTGGTTGTTGTTTGATTCTGTTGAAAGTCTGGTGTGTTTTCTTAGATTCAAGTTAGTGGCGTGTTAATCTCTTGGTTTTGCTACTGGTCGTATTCAGAAAAGGGTCTAATTGAGATTAAGTTTCATATGATTATCTATGAGTTAACCTGGAATTGAATTTAAGTATGAGCACTTGACAGTTTTGTTATCATTGCAATTGAATTCGAGATTATGTTGCTTTTAGGAGTGTAATGTCAGCTAATAGCATTTAAAAATTTTCCTTGTATATCAAGCTGATGTGTATTGATGAAAGTCCATTAGGCTGATTTGGTATTTTTGAATGTAAAATATCAGTTATGTTTTGGTGTGGACTCGATCTTGAGTCCCTGTTTCTTCAGCTTCAGTTTTTCGTAAGGTTTGGGCTCCCTTTGGGCCTGTACCTTAAGGCCATTTTGAAATAAGGATATGTGCAGCCTTGCAACTCCTTTGGGCTTGTGCTCGAGCCCCATTGCCTTTTGCATTAATATGGCAGCCTCTAATAGACATTTGGGCCAACTGCCAGCCCACGTCCTTTCAGCCAAACACTAGACCTCTTTCAACATTAGTTATTTCTAATTACTAAGTCTAGTTTGAACATTAGCCTAAAAATAATTTTAAATCCCTTTAAGCCTTCTTTAATTAATTAATCCCTTTTAAAACAAGATTT